GAGGAGAGGAGGAAGAGGCTAGGAGGGGAGGAGGAGGAGGAGAGGAGGAGAGCAGGAGGAGAGGAGGGGAGGAGGGAAGGAGCAGGTTGCTCTGTGACATTGGGAAAGGCCAGATCAGAACTTCTGTACGTATGGTAAAGGGAGGTTTCTGTGTAAAGGGAGGGTGCCGGCCGCTGTGAATGCCGCTGTGAATGGTTCTGTTATCTGGTCCTGGGGACCCAGCCCTGGCTCTGCTTTCTCTCAGCCAGCGTCAGAGGACCAGGAGCCGCGAGCCGCGGGCTCATGGATTTAATTTTAGGTTTCCTGAGGCTGTCACTGTCACCACGTCATCTCAGACACCCGTACAGAGGCAGCAGCTTTGGCTGTGAGTGAAGGGCAACAGCAAGGTCACTGTGCTTCCCAGGAGCCCATGTCTGGTGAGGTCTGTGCCCCTGGGCTCCACGGGCTTGCCTTCCAGGGCAGTGCCCTGCGGCCGAGTGTGGACAGCTGTACTGAAATACCCTTCCCTATCTGCAGCTTTGACTGTAGGAGCCTCCGAAGCTATTTTTGAGCTGCATTTTCTAAGATGACGTTAAGTGTGTAAGAAGCAAGTGTGGTGAGCAGGGCCAGCGGCTCCAGGAGGCAAGTGTGTCCGGAGCTTAGGCCCTGGAAGAACACACCCCCTCTCAGCACGCCCTCTCTTCTTATAGCCTCCACTTCACAAAGGCTTGACATAGAATCAGGGTGTGTATTTGGAGTGGGGAAGAGCAGAGGACCCCAGGGAAGCCTGCTGGAGGTCACTACAGGCAGCCACAAACCTGGCAGCTGCTGTTAGCATGTACCTCGGGCCCCTGCCCTCTGGTTAGTCACCTTGTCCATGCCCTGGGAGGCCGTGGCATTCCCACACAGGGCATGGATGGCCATGCTGGGGCAGGAGGAGTGTGGAGCAGCTGGAGGAAGGACTGGTGCCTACCTGGGGGTGGCCGGTGGCTGCAGTGGTGGCATGTTCCAGGTACTGCCGACAGGCATGCAGAGAAGCCGGAGTGCCCAGGTGCCCCTCACCCCAGGGCCTGAGCTGCGTGCTTGGCTGCGGACCCCATCCCATCTGAGGAAATGCGTGCCCGTGACTCTGGGATGTCAATGCCACCCGCAGTGCTGTCAGTTCTGCCGTTTCAACAAAAAAGTGAAAGACAGCAGATGTCACCCACTCAGTAGTTCAGGTGCCCTCTGGAAGCAGCCTCGCCCATTTCCTGTCTTGTCCTCGTGTGGATATGTGACCTCAGTGTACTTGCAGCGGTGTCCTTCACTGGCCTGTGGCCTCAGGACCACCTGGGCCCTACCTCCGAGGGTGGCGCTGGACAGGGCCTTTGTTTGGAGGTCCCCAGGGTGTCCAGTGTTTGGTCAGTTTGCGCTTTGTTTGGGGCTGAGTTTCAGACTTCTCGTGGATAATGCTGGCTTCTCTGTGAGGAGGAAAGTCTGAGGAGCAGGGCTGTGTTGGACGTGATGCATGCTCTCTGCCCTCTGGTCACGCACACACCGGGCGCGTGCCATCTCACCACCTCTCACACGTCCACTACAGGCTCCTTTTGCTGCTTAGGTGAAGGTGACAATTTGGTGTAGATTCCTGTAGCCTCCCAGGAACTCCCTTGCTTCCCGGATCTGGCTTTTCTGGTCTTCTCCTAACTGGCGTGTGTCCCTTGGGCTGGCCTTGCTCTGCCATCTGGGAGAGTGGACTGTCGGGTAGGGACCCTGGGGTGTAGGTGTTGAAGAGCTTTGGGGTGGCCTCTGCAAACGGTGTTGACTGGTCAAGGTCTTTGGAAAGTCTCCTCTGAGGGCTTCCTGCTGGCCACGGGGCATGGCTGCAGAGGGTGCCCGGGCCCTGGTGGCTGATCAGGCTGTGTCCCTTCACCCTGTCTTGGAAGCCTGCTTGCCTAGATAACCCAGTTGAGAAACAATCCTGTGTCTGCCAAGATTTCTGCAGTGGGCCTGGGTCTGTCCAGCCCACTTTCTTCCTCCTCTCCAGCGATCCACGTCTGTCCACCTCCTCTCTGCTCATCAGCACTGCCTCGGTGCTGTTGGTCTGCCCTGACTGAGTACCACAGACGGCAACTGCTCACGGCTCTGGAGCTGTGAGTCCAAGGTCAGAACGCAGGCAGACCGGGTGGTGAGGCTGTTGCCCCTGTGTAGAGGCCACCTTCTCACTGAGTGCTCACATGGTGGGAGGGGCGGGAGCCCTCTGGGTCTGTTTATAAGGTCAGTCCTGTTTGTGAGGATGATACGTCTTCCCAGCGGGAGGATTTCTACCTGTGAGTTTTGGCAGGACACCAACATGCGGCCCAGAACATCTGTCTTACGCCTGCTGCCGTGACTTTGTTATTGTATTTACATCTCTTCTGGTTCTTTCTGAAAGCAAATTTCAATATGACCCTTGCTTCTCTTTTCTTTGCATCTCGACTGTGTTTTTCTTCTTGAGAGAACAGGAAGCTCACAGGACAGTGTGAGCCCCAAGGCTCCAGCAGCCTAGGTCCCGTGCTGATCTGAGCTGGTCACACACTGAGGGTCCCTGAGACAGCCTGGGCCTACCCTCTCTGTCCACCCTGGAGCCCACACTCTGAGGGCTGAGTGGAGCAAAGGTGAGATTCAGGATAAGCCTCAGGTAGGCCTGGAGGCTGGGGGAGGAGGCCAGCTCAGCTCTGTGCAGGGCATGCACAGAGATCTGGCTCCACACCTCAGACGTGGAGATCAAGGAACTGGGTGTGAAGAATGGTCTTTTCTTCCATGTGGTTCAAGTTTACCATTAAGTACTTCCGGGCTTTACTGAAAGGCCTCTGCCCAACACATCCAACCCCAGCACAGGTTGGGAGAAGTGCCCAGGGGTGACATCATCTCTGTGGCGAGGACAGACTGTTCTTCTGTGTCTTCAGATTTAGCACCAGACCTCTTCTTGTCCTCTCTTTCTTTGAGTTTGTCACCTTTGTGCACAGACCTGAGATGGGGCTTGAAGGGGACTCCTCCCCTGCCCTATATCTCTCACCAGTTTTCTTTGCATGGGGGCTGATCTTCCTAACCTGGAGCTTCCTCCAGAGCTAGTGGGGTCTGCATGGGACGGGTCTGGTGGAGTCCAGACCTGATCACACCAGATGCTTCTGGGCCAAATGTCTGGGACAGATTCTGTGCCTTCCCAAGTTTTTTGAAGGATATTTTTGCTTTCAAGTGAAATTGATGGAACATCAGTTTTCCCTATTTTTCTGCATCTAAAGAAAGTCTTCAACTGAATTTTCTACTGTTCCTGCAAATTTTCTCCTGTTCCTGGGCACAAAGTCCCCAGCAGTGTCCCCACCTGCTTTCTGGGCTCTGTGTGTGGGCCAGTTTTCCTGTCTGCAGAATGATCTGCTCTCTGTCCACATGATAAAGGTGGCTGCCCCGTGATGAGGGATGACAGGGGCGAGTGCACCTTGCTGGCTTGTGGAAGGTGGCACGTGCCCCACGGAGCAGCTCATACAGCTCACAGTGACATTCCCTCAGAGTTGCAGACCCTTGACCCCCTAAAATTGGATTATTCAGAATTCCATTGTGATTGGCATAGTTTATAAAACTTTTTTTTGAAACAAAATTTAGTTTTTATATCAAATTCAGATAAATGTGAACGGTGACTTTTAATGTGACAATAAAGTTTCCTTCAGAACCTGCAGGTAGACTGAACTCAAAACTGCCAAGAATAGGTCCCGGCTCATTTCAGAACCAATCTGCAGAAAGCTCATGGTTCCTTTGTCCTGGACTTTCTAAGAAGAAGCACAAGTCCCTGGTGTCTGATCTCAATAGCATGGAAAGATCCTGGGCTGAGCCTACTTTGCTCCCGGCCCTCTTCACGTCATGCAGAGGGATGTCCCCCCGGATCAGCTATCCACAGCACAGCAGAACCAGTATGTGGCTCTTCCTTCTCCTGGGGACTTACGGTGCCCATTAGAGGAAGAAAGACACCAGCTGCCTTCGCGCAGGACTTCTGACCCAGCACCAGCCAGCACAGAGGGTGACACTCAACTGTGCACATCTCTAAATGGAGATCTTTTCAGATGCCCTTTTGAAGAGTCCAGTCAGATAAGAGCACACGAGCAGTTCAGCTTAAACCTGACTTCTGTACACAAACTCGACTCTGCAAAACACACACCCCTGGACGTACCTACAAAATGACTCGTAACCTTGGATTTGTCTCATTTCCGTAGGGTTTCAGAGGGCAGCAGAAAGAACTTTCAGGAGCTTTCGTGTTCTTGCTCCGTGTCTACTCTAATTCAGGGAGGCCTTGGTCTTGTGTTGAGCGGGTTGTCTGGCTTGCTTCTGTTCCTACACACCGGTATTGACGGCTCCTTTGTCGGCACAGACACACAGGCTTGGGTATTTAAAGGACTGGGTGGGCATCAGGACCATCTCACACCAAGTCTTGAGCGATGCCCGCTGTTTCTCCTGCTCTGGTGTGTGCAGTCCTGCACCAGCTTTCAATCTGCAGAGAAGGCGGCCCTCTGATTGTTTAAAAGGAGAACTACTTTGTTTTATTTTTTAAATCAAATCAACTTTCAAAATTGATACATAACTTAAAAATCATGCACCTTAATGCAGTGAGGTGCCAGTCATGCTTTGATGCAAGCACACTCTGTGTGATGTCGGAGTGGAACACAGCTGTCTGCCCATTTAAGTCTTCATGGTGAAACATCAGAACCCTTTCTTCTAGCTTTTTGACGTGTGCAATCCGTTATTGTTTTCTATAGTTAGTTTAATGTTTTTATTCAATAAACAAACACTGTCATCTCGATCTTGCCAATCTCTGGCAGTTTCTAGTTCTGTGGCTGAGGACAGTCCCCTGCTTGGACCTGGCTCATGTCCACCCAGTTCCCTGGATGATGGCAGATCCTCTTGAGACACCGGCAGAGCCCCCATTCCAGGGAGGGCAGGGTGTGGTGGGTGAGGGTGGCTTCCTGCCCTTCCTGCCAGGGTCCCCAGGGAGTGAGTGATGAGACCCAGGGGGACCCTGCCTTCCGGATCCTGCCCTAAGCTCTGTGTAGACAAGCAGGCTGATGTGCTTGCTGCTGCTCCCTGCTGGGAGCCCAATCTTTGCTTGGAGGAACTTCTCGGTGTGGCTCCTCACTCTGGCCTGCTGCTGAGTTTAGCTGCTCGTGTGCTCTTCTGCGTTAGGTGTGTCCAGGAGCCATAAAGGAGTGGTGTCCTAGGAGATCTTACCAAAGGGGCAGCAGGCCTTGGTTGCTGTAGGCATCTTCGTCCAAGATAGAACGCTCTTCAGCCCAAACCTGAGGTGGAGTTTTAAACCTGGAAGGCATCGCTAGCACCGTGGGCTGTACACCTCCAACAACAGCGCCAGGCCCCTGGCCTAGCCCTGGGGACTCAACTCTGCTTTCTCCCAGAACGTCTCTGCTCCAGTGATGTTCTTTCTCCTGTGTCCTCTGGGACCCAGTGCCTTCTTTGTCTTGGCTCTGTGCCAGCACGCTGCTGCTCCATGTCCACACAGGTCCCTCCCGAGACCTGGCCTGTGCGGCTGGACACTGCAGGCTGGGAAGGTGGTATTTGGGAAGCAGATCTAGAGTACTGGGTATTTACTTTTGGGGTGTGGCCATTTCAGCCTTCCCTGAAGTGGACAGGCCAGCATTCCCCGCAGACTGGACTCTACATCAGCCTAGTCTTTCTCAGTCTTGCAGCACTCACTGTCCTGGCACCCGTGGGTGACAGTGGATGGGGACACTGGCAGGGCACCCCTGCTCACTAGCAGGGCCATTCTGCAGGATGCCAGGGACCTAGACCTTGAAATCCAGAAGAATCAAATTCTAGTTTCAGTTCTGCCCCCCCAGTGACCAGGTAGCTAAGGGCAGTTCACTCGGCTTCTTTGGACTGGAGCTTTCTTACCTGTAAAATGAGAAAGTTGCAGTTAATTATCTATGAAGTCACTTCAAGCCCAAGGGTGATAACATTCTTTGATTCATTGACAAAAGTAGCAATAACAAGACAGCAAACCCTTCTTACAAGAGCCCAGGCGTGTTCAAGGTCCAGGACATTCAGGTTCACGGCTGCCTTGGCATGTACATTCTTGGAGGCAGCGTCCTCTCCTCACGGGATGCCCTTGCCCACAGACAGCCTTCAAGCCAGAAAACGGGGACCCTGGACCAGCTGACCTCGGCGCCCAGCTCTTGACTGCTACTGAACGGAGGAGCATTGAAAAGAAATCACATCACGGTACAAAGAAAGAAGAAAGGCACGCATGCCTTCTGCTCTAGCTGTCAGGCTTTGTGTGGATTTCCCCCTAACTTGATGAAAGGGTGTAATTAATCTGTAATTAAGTAGTAGGGTTCTCAGGGAGGGGATTGGGGCCCAGCGCCATGTGGGGCTTTGCCCACAAGAGGGCGCTGTGGCAAAGCCTACCGTCCCTTGTGCGGGCCGCTGGGCTCAGCTCCCCGCATGAACTTGAGATGAGCATCCCAGGAGCCTTCTCACCTCGGGGTCCAGTCTGCTCTGTGGAACACGCAGTCACAGCGAGGGGCTGCTGCGCACATCACACACCTTCCTTCGCCCTGCTTTAGGTCCCTGGCCCTGCTGCGTCCTGGCCGGGAGTCTCTGCACATTCACTGCCGTGGACTCCAGGCAGCTGCCTCTCGGCCGTGGATGGAATTCAGCACGACAACCCGGATGTTCCATTTAAATCCGCTTTTCAGAAACTCCTCCATCAGCTACTCACAGGTCTGGTTAGCAATCACACTGCCATTCTGTGTGACCCGAAAGGAGAAGGATGTACAGAAGTAATTGTTTAGCATGCAAATGATGTACCTGCACGGCTTCAGACAGAGCAGGCAGCCCAGAAGAGCTGGGCTGATTCCTGGGAGCTCCCTGTGGCTCGGCGGCAGAGCCCGGAACAGCCGCTGGAGCTGTGTTTAAGATGTAGTAATAATAGAGGGAATAGGAGGCATCCGGGAGGAGCAGAGCGCTCCCGTCCTGGCTGTGGTGAGGCCCCATCAGGTGCATAGATGCTTTTAATTAATTAGGCTGCTGGCAAGCCCTCCCGAGTGTGCGGGACAGGAGGGGGTCCTTGCCCATCCTGGTGCACAGCCCATGGCCCATGCTGCCGCCCTGTGACCTCTCGTGGGTCTCTCTCCCACTGTGGCTGGCCCTCCTTGTCCTCTGGGAGAAATAGTCAAGCCCTCGGAGCGAGCACGGACGGAGCAACTGGAAGCCCTGGGCAGGACTTCAGCGCACATGGGTGAACTCATGGGTGGAAATACCTTTTTACTCTGCAGGCCTCGGGCTATAGCCTTGTGAGACCATTTCTAGAAGGTGAACAGGTCCTTGAGAGGGACAGGAAAGGTCTGGCCCTAGCTAGTGCCTCCTGCTGGTGCCACTGTGGGCTGCAGCCAGGCTCAAGCTCCCGCTTATCAGACTGGGCACAGGACCAAGCGACCCCAGAGGACACTCATATCTGGAGGAAGAAGAAATGGCCATTTCTGCTTGTGAAAAAAGCCCTGTGTATGTGGCTGGAGCTCAGGGCCCGGCTGGCCGCCCTTCTCTGTTTCCTCCAGCTTCAGCCCCCTGCCCACAGCTCTGGCTGTCCACCCTGGCTGGCCTCTCTTCTCCCTGTCCTTTCCCACTCTGCCCTGGGTTCCTTTCCCCACTTTTCTTCCCTGTCCTTTTCAAGCTCCTCTCAAGCACCCTGGTTTTGTGGGGCTGTGCTGAGCTAGCCCTCGGGGGTGGCCCGTCCCCCGTGAGTAGGACCAGCCTCCAACCCTGCCTCCATCTCTGAGAAAGGTAAAGAAGACTGGGTGAGGAACAGACCTGGGGCCTTTGGAAGGGACGCCTGGGTTTGAGGCAAGTCCTGGGCAGTGCCTAGCGCGTGTATGCCCTTACCCTGTTGGACCTGACACGATGCTTGCAGGGGCCTGCAGAGTGCCAGTCCTGAGATGAGGTCTAGGAGACAGGACCCTTGAGGGTCAGTGGGCCATGAGTGCCTGAGTGCCCGTGGTGGAGCAGGGGAGGAGACGGACACCCGTGTTCCAAAAGAGGGAGGCTCCCTTGTTCCCAAGATGCTTGTCGCGGGGCAGGATGGTGGGTCGCTGGAGGGTGAGGGAGAGGAGCGAGGATGGCCCTGACCAAGGCCACTGAGCCCTGGCCTGGGAGGCATTCCCCAGGAGTTGGAGTCTCTTGAAGGCTTCTGGATGAATGGTCTGGACCTGGCCCCTGGGGGGTCTTGCCTTGCTCTTTTGCCTGTAGGTAGCCCTCAGCTGTGGCCGAGTCTCTAGGAGAAGTGGCGTTTGAAATGTCAGCTCTGAACACAGAACATGGAGTCTAGCCGGCTCCCGTTGGTCCTTGGCTCGGGTCTGGTGTCAAAGCCTCCTTGCTTCATGCTGAACTTGAATGTCATCGAGGCAGCAGAGCCAGGTTGCCCTGGGAGGAGCTGACCTGCTGCAGAGCAGGGCATGTGGACTCGGGGGCCTGTGGACACGGGCAGCGTGACCGCCAGCCCTGCCCCCACTCACCCAGCCCCACTCCCCTGAGGCCAGCCACAGTCCCACCGCAGACCTGGAGGACATCAGTAGCCTTGGGGACAGAAATGGCTCTGAGACCTTTGGGGTTCCTGGGGCTTGTGCAAGAGGAAAAAGGCCACGAGGAGACAGTGGAGGAGGGCCATGAGTGGTGTGTGCCGTGCTGAGTGGGCCTTGTGAGTGATGGGGCGTCTGTGGCGTGTCCACATGGGTATGTGATGTGGTGTGTGTGGCTGTTGTGTGTTGTGTGTGGTTGGCTGTATGGTGGGTTTTGTGGTGTGATTCTTGTGTGTGACCTGTGTGTGGAGGGGGGTCGGAGAGTGGCAGCCACTCTGGATACTTCCATGATGCCCTGGGTGCCCTGGCCAGATCCTGCACAAGGGTCTCCACTGCCTACTGCCCGCTGCAGGTGATGACCAGGAGGAGAGCTGCTGTGGGCTGTAGACCTGCAGAGGCCAGAGAAACCACTGCATGCTGGGGCCTCCTGGGCCACCTCTGGCCTTTTCTGGGGGGATGGTAGGGGCCCATGTAGTGGCCCGGCAGTCCAGCGGGCAGCCCCCGAGCTGCACGGAGCAGCTGGTGAGGACGCTGTGGATGGCAGGTGAGGCGGCCCCCCTGAGGGCAGATTGAAACCCCTCTCAGGAATGACACGGGAACCCTGCACTCTTTTGAGCATTAGTTTTCTTTATTCTTCTTTAGCCCCCATCTTGGCAAGAAATGAAACACACGTTGCACATCGTGTGGCCCTTTTGTGAGGTCATTTCTCTGCACTTGCTTGAAAACACTTCCCAGTCGCTCCCAGCTCCTCTTACTGACAGAATCTCTGCAGATGCCCCGAGTGCTGGCCCCAAGCAGATAGCGGTCCTTCTAGTCCCCCACAGGCCCCCACTCTGTGCACAGAACGTCCCCATGTCTTCAGGAAGGCCAGGTGGCACTGCACCTCAGTCCTCAGGGCCACACCCTTCCAGGTAGGTCCGAGGCTCCGTATCCCCCACTCCCTCACCCCATGGGGATTGTGTCATCTCATGCCGTTTGCTATGCATCCCTCGTTAAGCCAACCCAGATGACAGGCCTACACTCAACGGTGCCTGAGATATGGTGACCAGGGTTCTGCCGAGACCTCCTGCCCTGTGAAGGGACCATTTTAAAGAGACTCTGGGGAAAAAACCCCAATATCTCCTATGGAATCACAAAAGTCCAGGAGTCCTTTCCCACCCACAGCCCCCCAGACAGGTGGAGGCCGGACATTGGGGCTACCATTGCAGATACGAAGCCAGGGAGGCCAGCAGTTCATGACAGTGGGCAGAGCAAGGCAGAGCTAAGGTGGCCTGGTGGCTGTTGCAGGACTGCGTTTCGGCACCTTTCTTGATGTCCATGCCTAGTGTCCCACCCTGCCTCCCCCAGCACCCTTCCTGGGGATCCTCAGCAAGGCCCTCGAGTGGTTAGAAACCCAGGGCGAGCAGAGCACTCATAGGACTCAGGGGAGCACTCAACAAGGAGCTGGACTGGGAGGGTCAGAAACAGTAAGGGGGCACCTCTCGAGAAGGCAGGTCAAGGAGACCCTGGGAAAGCTCAGAGGACAGCAGTTCACCACAGCCGGGGGACTGGAGAGAACATAGTCTTCAGGGCCACTGGAGACTTCTGTCACTGCACGAGGGTCTCAGGTAGTCGTGACCAGTGATGCCCAGATGTGGGGCCTGGCCCCAGACTTGCAAGCTGACTCACTCCTGGTGGTTTGTCTCTTATTCTAAGACTTTTTTCCCATTAGATTTTTCTGCTCCCTCCCAGTGCCTACAACATCAATTACCAAGAACATCATGGTTTCAATGGGACACTAGGAAGGCCCTCAAACCGTTTCCTCTGATAACGAGCTCAGTCCTCAGGGCCACATGTGCATCCCCTGAGTGAGCTGTAGGACACCAGCTGTCTTCCAGCCTCGCTGGCCCAGGACTGTCCAGCATGGGGGCCTGGGGATGGCTGTCTTCTCCCTGCGTCTCTTTTACTCTCTTCCCTCTGCGTGGGCCTGTTTCTGGTTCCAAATTTCCCTTTTCTATTAGAAGACCGTCATATCAGATTAAGGTCCACTCAGTGACCTCAACTGAACTCTGATTACCTCTGTGAAGACCCGTCCTGAATTAGGTTCCATTCCAAAGTCCCTGGGGCTGAGGACTCAAGTTTACCTTTTAGGGGGACACAATTCAACCAGAGGGCCCTTCCCCTAGGCCATGCCTGCCTATCCCCACCACATGCAGGGCCAGAGTCTCATGGGCCCACTTTCTCTCACTCTGGAAGCCAAACCAGCCAGATAAGTTGGAGAGCCGATAAGGATGTCCCTGCACACAAGGGCCAGAGCTGGAGGGAGCAGGGACCAGGACGGCAGTCAGTGGCTCGCACCAGCTGTCATTTTCCATGTCTTGTTTGGAGTCCCACAGATGCAGTAACCCATCCCACAGTGCAGTAGCCCATCCCCCAGATGCAGTAACTCATCCCCCAGATGCAGTAGCCCATCCCCCAGATGCAGTAGCCCATTCCACAGTGCAGTAGCCCATCCCACAGACGCAGTAGCCCATCCCCCAGATGCAGTAGCCCATCCCACAGTGCAGTAGCCCATCCCTAGATGCAGTAGCCCATCCCCCAGATGCAGTAGCCCATCCCATAGACACAGT